GGAGCCCCCTCCTCAAATATGGGGTCTATCGTAAAACCGTTGGCTGGCGCAGTGTAGGTCAGACTCATCTACAGTCCTGCCAAATTTCATGTTGAATGGTGCAGGCGTTTTTGACCAAAAATCACCGAAAAAGTACGAAAACAATATGACTCCCGCTTAACACTACGTGTGCGGGGGTCATAATAATGCATTTCATCTGCCGTCTTTCACACCAGAGTTTGAAACTAAAAATCTGATGCTGGAGTTTTAACAGCTTGAAATAAACTTATTTGTGATCTCACATAATATCGTATCATGTGTCAGAGCTCAACGTATGCCCTGCAAATGACTCTCAAAAACTGGGATGTTATTATCCATCATTTTTTACCCAGTTCTTCCTTTCAGAGTCTCGGTGCCCATGTCCGGCAGTCGCTGTGCGAGGAGCGGAGTACATCCTAGACAGGTTTCCAGTCCATCAGGGCCACATAGAGACAAACTACTATTCGTACCTAGGCACAGTTTAAAGTTACCAGTTAGCTTAACAGTCATGCTTTTGGTTTGTGGGAGAAAACTGGAGGACCTGGAAAAAAAACCCACGCATGTACAGAGCATCAATGTACAGAGAGAACATGCAAACTAGAAACAGGGGTGGACTGGCCATCTGGGATACTGGGCAATGCCTGGTAGACTAACACCCATTTAGGGGCCGGCCTGGGCGTGTCGTGATTCAAAAACCTATATTATAAAAATTTTTTTAACCGCAACAGCCCATTGGTTGAGGACATTGAGCTAATCCAATGAAATCTCTCAGCTCTTGTCACTGAACATGCAAATACATCCTCTGGTATATGGAGAGCTCTTTCATTCAAAATAAATAAATAAATAAATAATAATTTTAATGATTTTGTTTTATTTCACAGGGAAATTTATTTATTTGATGGAATATTTATTAATACTTTATTAATTACAGCAGGGCTATTTAACTAAATTGCTCCGGGGGCCACATTTACTGCCGGTCAACAGCTGAGGGGCCAAAATCCAGCAATTTAAAGTTATTGTGTGAATAAACCAAGTATTACAAAGATCTGTTACCTTTGAATTAGTATATTTTGCTGCATTTAATCAAGAATACAACATACAGAACCCTATAAAAGTAGTGATAATTAAACATTATCAAAAACAAAAATAACACATTATTTGACACAAATATTATTTTGACATMTCTGACTTGCCAAATTTTTAAACCAATTTTATTTTCACTTTCATTCATTTTATCTTCAACTGCTTGTAGTTTTAACTGTCTTGAGTGTTTATAGAAAATGTTTTTACCAGCTTCTATCCAAGATTCTGACATTTCTGTAGACACCAAAGCATGTCTATGTTTAACTAAAAGAACTTAGAGTAATTAAAGAAGAAAACCGGGGGTTTGGGCTTGAGAGATGATTGAACCAATTGGTGGGCTGAACTTTGGTCACTTGCGGGCCGGATGTAGCCCATGGGCCACCAGTTGAATAGTCCTGCATTACAGTATTTATTTATTTTTTAATTAATTAATTAATTAATTTTGAATGAAACAGTTCTCCACATATATGGGGACATTCCATTGACTTCTATTGATTTCTACAACCTAACCCTGGTTTGAATCAACAGTTTGAATCAGATGAAGGCTCAGCTGYGGATACATTTTAAGACATCTCAAACAAACTGCTTCTTTGTGTGACAKCATGGTCTTCATTTTATTATTGACCTCCGCGACTCTGGTTCATCCATGGGTATAATTTTCAGATGCCCGAAGGTGCTTTGTTCATCAGTTCAAACAATTATACACAATCATGGGGTCGTACTGCCATTCTTCAGCTCAGGAAGGAAACAGATTTTGTGTTTTCTAGATTGGAGTATTTTGATGTGAAATGTACATGAAATACAAAACAAATCAAATCTTCATGAAGACATTAGTGAAGCATTATTTACAGTGAAACAAGAGCCGAAAGGATACTACTCAGCAATAAAGAAGCCATTACACTGAAAGCAAGATACCAAAACCTAATGTTTGAAGACATTGCTGCACTCTGATGAAACTGAACTGTTTGGCTATAATGACCATCATTTGGAGGAAAAAGGGGAAARCTTGCAAGCCTGAGAAYACCATCTTAAGAAATATGCAGGTGGTTGCCTCGTTTTGTGGGGGTGTTTTGGTGCAGGAGAGACAGGTGCACTTTATAATGTAGCTGGTATCATGAGAAGAAAAAAAAAGCACTACACAGAACTACAGAAGCAACACCTCAAGACATCAGCCAGAAAGTTCAAACTTATGTGAAAATAGGTATTTAAATTAGACAGTGACCATAAGTATACTGCCAAATTAGTTACAAAGTGGCTTAAGGACAACAAAATCAACTAGACATGGGTTTTTACGATGTAAAAACAAGTGKGCATTGCCATGTAGCATGTCATTGCAGCATGGCTTTGCCTGCAGCAAACTACAAGTTGTACAGGTACCAAAAGGCATAGCAATCATTTGGCACAGGACCTTTACATATAGAAATTACAATGGCAGCTGTAGGACAAAGTATGCAGGAGGAGTAGCTCGGCGACGTGGAAGAAGACGGAATAATAAGCGGAGTAATAATAATAACTAGACATGGGTTTTTACGATGTAAAAACAAGTGTGCATTGCCATGTAGCATGTCATTGCAGCATGGCTTTGCCTGCAGCAAACTACAAGTTGTACAGGTACCAAAAGGCATAGCAATCATTTGGCACAGGACCTTTACATATAGAAATTACAATGGCAGCTGTAGGACAAAGTATGCAGGAGGAGTAGCTCGGCGACGTGGAAGAAGACGGAATAATAAGCGGAGTAATAATAATAACTAGACATGGGTTTTTACGATGTAAAAACAAGTGTGCATTGCCATGTAGCATGTCATTGCAGCATGGCTTTGCCTGCAGCAAACTACAAGTTGTACAGGTACCAAAAGGCATAGCAATCATTTGGCACAGGACCTTTACATATAGAAATTACAATGGCAGCTGTAGGACAAAGTATGCAGGAGGAGTAGCTMTAATGTGTTTTCTATACCAGCTTGTGCCTGTCACGTCAGCAGGTGTTTGTAATTAAGATAATTGTGTGACAATATGAAGTTTGCAGAGATTTTTGTTAAAGTAGCAGTAGCTGGATTTGAACCATTATCTCCCGCATGAAAGCCCACAGTGCTCATCATGAGAGTGTCGGAGATGTGGCAGAGGACAATCCCAGGGATTGGATTGTATGTATACAGAAAAAGTTTACTCTGCCAATGCAATTATTGACACTTAAGTGCAATATATTACAAATATAGAGCAGTATTAAGAAAATATTATAGTAAAACATCAAAATACAATCATATTAGTATTGTAAACACTGAAAAATTGAGATTAAATATTATTAAAGTATGGAGCAGTACCAAGTTGAGTCCAGCATGGGGCAGTATTGGACCAGTACAAGGCCCCATTGACTTTCATTAAATGAATTTTAGAATAAAGTTTAAACATTAATATTTCAAAAACTACAAGTTGTACAGGCACCAGAAGGCATAGCAATCATTTGGCACATGACATTTACAGATAGAAATTACAATGGCAGCTGTAGAACAAAGTAAGCAGGAGCATTGGACTTGCAGAATGAACTTTGACCAAGTTCAAATGTGTTTTCTATACCAGCTTGTGCCTGTCACATCAGCAGGTGTTTGTAATTAAGGTAATTGTGGGACAATACGAAGTTTGAAGAGAATTTTGTTAAAGTTGCGACAGCTGGGTTTTGAACCATGATCTCCCACATGAAAGATCATGACATAGACCATTAGACTGTTGGAGCTTTGGCAGAGTGTGGTGCCAGGGGTTGGTTTGTATGTGTGCAGAAGGAGGCCACATTACCAATACAATTATTGACACTAAACTGCATAATATTACAACAATAGAGCAATATTAAGATAATGATATAGTAAAACATCAAAATACAATCATATTAGTATTGTAAACACTGAACTATTGAGATTAAATATAAAAAGCTATGGTGCAGTACCAAGTTGAGTACAGCTGGTGACAGTATTGGACCATCACAAGGCCCCATTGACTCCCATTTTATGAATTTGGAATAAATTTTCAACATTAATATTTCAAAAACTACAAGTGGTACAGGCACCAAAAGGCATGGCAATCATTTGGCACAGGACTTTTACAGATAGAAATTACAATGGCAGCTGTAGGACAATGTATGCAGGAGGCATTGGACTTTCAGAATGAAAGTTCAGATGTGTTTTCTATACCAGCTTGTGCCTGTCACGTTAGCAGGTGTTTGTAATTAAGGTAATTGTGTGACAATATGAAGTTTGAAGAGATCTTTGTTAAAGTTGCAGTAGCTGGATTTGAACCCTGATCTCCCACATGAAAGCCCACAGTGCTCATCATGAGACTATAGGAGATGTGGCAGAGGACAATTCCAGGGATTGGATTGAATGTATACAGAAAAAGTTTACTTTACCAATGCAATTATTGACACTTAAGTGCAATATATTACAGCAATATGACAACAAAAAGACAGTATAACAGTAAAACATCAAAATACAATCATATTAATATTGTAATCACTGAACTGAGTTTAAATTTTATGAAACTATGGTGCAGTACCATGTTGTGTAGATGCAGCAGTGGGCAGTATTGGACCAATACAAGGCTCCATTGGCAGCCATTATAATTTATTAAACATTAATATTTCAAAAACTATAATTTTTACAGGCACCAAAAGGCATAGCCATCGTTTGGCACAGGGGATTTACAGATATAAATTACAATGGCAGCTCTAGGACAAAGTATGCAGGAGGAGAAGCATGGCAAACTTGAGATGACTTGGATTGGAAACGAATCACAATAGTTTGCACTGATGAGCCTCATGCAAGAATCGTTCGTACGAACAGATTTGTTCTTAAGTTGTGCGTACGAGTGATTTCGGAGAATTTGTGGCATTCACCAATTTTCTCGTATTCTAAGATTTTTTTCAGATACGAACAAAATTCATGTGTAGTCCAGACCTGTCGTATATTTTACAAGCAGTCAGTCTACTGTTTTCCATAAGGATTTTTCTCACTAATAGTATTTCATTAGTTTGAAGATATTTAGAGTTGAAAATATATCACATAATTATGTTGACAATAGGTTATTCTGTTTGAACTGGAATTAGATTTTAAATGTAACTAACGAAATAAACTGGTTAGATTAAATTAAATTGGCTTTTAATGTTGTTGTATAACATTACAATATTAATATGAAGATCTCAAACTAAAAACCAACTTAAATTATGCATTAATTGAAGTTTGGAGTCATTTTAAAATGTGTCTTTTCAGAACCGCATCTGACACTTGCGACGGTCGGGAGGTGGGAGACGGCCAGGCGAGGTGTGGTGGTGGTGTAGCGGTGTGTGACTGTCTTCTGAATAAATGAAAACTATGTGACACAGGTATTTACACTTAAAAGACAAACTGGAGCAGAACTAGAGAGAGACATGAATATGATTTAGATTTTTATTTCTGTGACTGTATATATGACCCACAGGAGACACGACACTAACAGCAGTCATTTCATTCCATTCTTTGGCTTTAGTAGCTCCTTTAATTCCACGACTGACAGTGCTAAAAAATGACAGATTTTCTTTTCTCAATCTCGGAGAGCAGGACTTCAATCTCTGAACTTGTAAAGTTCTTTTAACTTTTCGCTGTCATTTTCATGAATGGACAGTTCCTGGTATCTGAGGCAGGAAACATAACCTTATATGGTGCTTTTGGGGTGGTAATTATGCTGCTCTCCTCTCCTCGTGCACAAGCAGCTGGATACGAACAGGTGGAATTCATCAGTTTACGCAGCTCATTTACACACTTTTCCTGAAGATAGAAGAGTTTGTTGAATCTGATGTGGCACGTTCGTACAAATCCTTCGTACGAATAAAAGTAAGAGAAATTTAGGATAAGAATATAAACTTGTTCTTGCATGCGGCCCAATGTTTTTGTAGTGGCTTTCACAAAGCCCTGATCTCAGTTCCATAGAATATCAGTGGGCAGAACTGCAAAAATGAGCAGCGAGTCTACAAACCTGAGTCAGTTCCACCAGTTCTGTCAGGAGGATTGAGACAAAACCTTGTGAAGCTTGTTGAAAGGAAACAAAATGTTCCACCTAGGTCATGCAGTTTAAAGGCAATGCTAAGGAAATGCATGTAAACTTGTGACTTTGAGAAAAGTAAGAAAAAAAATCTCTCTGGTTTCACTGTAAACAATGAGGCACATTTCACTCAGCCGTGATGGTAATCTTAAGAGTACAAAAACCTTTAATTAGTTTTGTCAGTTTGACAATTTTTTTATATCCTCATCCAATATATCTGGTTTGTCTTTTTCAGGCTCTTTTATGCAGCTTACCCACAGTGACTGCTGGAGACAGACACCAGCTCCCATAGCAACTCTGAACAGATAAGTGGGTAAAAGAAAATAAAGGGATCTCTAGCAATGCTCATTAACAAATACAAAATACTGTATGTGGTGGCAAACTAGACTTATAAACAAAACTGGATATCAAAACCTGGGCAAACTAAAACGTTTTTAAATTAAACTCAGAAAACTGTCAAGAACATTGAGATATATAACAAATGATCTGACAAAAAAACAGAAGGAAACCATTAAGGTATTTCTGTAGGAAATGGGGGATTGCTCCATGCACATGTCACCTGATGACAAATGTAAGACAGGTGTGTGTGTGTGGAGCAGAAAACAGCCCATATAAAATAAGATATATGACCTGACAAGAAAACATAATTTAAAAAAAACTTAATACACTGAAACTTACAAGAATGAACTAAAAATACAACACTAGATTTTATTTCTTTTTTGGTTCCTCTGGGTTAGAGGGCTGGTAAAGATGGTATTTAAAATCTAAATTCAAAATGTGTTCATTGAAAACAACATGATTTAAACCTGTGGCCTGGCAGTTTGAAGTGCAGCTCAGATACCGGCCGCAACTGCAAGATTGATGTCTTGTAGGGAAGAGTTAGCAGCATTTGTGTTTGTCACAGGATGATGATGTCATAAGAAGAACCACCAATGAAACAGGCTGTGTTCTATTCTGAAATACTTAAGCTTTATTATTTATCTGCAACATTAACATTTAAATTTTACATTTAGATTTTCACATTTAGATTTAGGATTTATCATTTAAATATAAAATTTAACATTTAAATTTAACATTTAGTAAAAAAAATAGCAACATATAAGAACTGTGAGCTTAACAGCGATAAATTAAAGTATTTCAGAATGGAACGCAGCCTTTGTTGTTGGTGCTTGGCTAGATTTAGGATTTATCATTTAAACATAAAATTTAACATTTAAATTTAACATTTAGTAAAAAAAATAGCAACATATAAGAACTGTGAGCTTAACAGCGATAAAATGTTGGTGTAATTTTTTTTACTAAGATCTTACGCTCAAAGTGAGCTAAACAATGAAAAAGTGTTGGTGATATTTTATAATATTTTAGTTTACACTTGGTGCCCCAGTGGGAGCATCATGCTGTGGGCATGTTTTTCATCAACAGGAAGTGAGAAACAGGTCATACTTTTGCAATTAGTTGGGCTTTAAAAGGATATAATTTAAAATGTATCTGACAAACTTCAACTGACGATTTAATAAATACATTTTCTAGTATCAGGTAAAAATGTTAATTTTTAAAGATTTCAAGACTTTGAAACAAGTACTTGAAATCCCTAAGCCATCCTGTATCCTTTATATTTCTGTGCTTTTTTAACAAACTGCAGAATGTGACAACAAAAAACAATTGTGTTCCAAATATTACAGATGTAGAATTCAGTTTAGAGTTATTTAAAACCATGGTCAAGTTTTTTATTTGAACTTTACACTAAAAAATCTCCACAACTATAGCCAGCAACGTCAAACTGAATAGCTATGTGTAAATGAGAGAAAACATAACAGATGATAAGATGACATATGTTTGAAAGAATTTAAATGCAGGGATACTAAACTTTAACCACAGAAATAAATTACAACAAATGACACATCTAATTCTAAATATTTATTTAGTAAATGACCCAAGCCTGGAAACTTTCAAGGCTGCATATTTTTATTTTAAAATGAGATTCTGCAGGTGTCCAGTTCAAATAAAACACGTCACTGAATTCCAGTCATCTGCCACAGGTACGAGTGTTTGGCCCATAATGCAGTGGGAACGGCCAAAAGAACGGTCCAGCTGGAGGTGAAAGATGAGGCCTTCTTCCACCCTCCCCCTCCTCCTCCTCCTCCTCCTC